TCGGAGCCACTGGCTCCTCGGCTCGGCTCGCAGGCGCAGCGGGCCTCGCTGCCTGCAATTGTTGAACAATTTGTACCATAAATTGCTGTTGCTGCTGCTGCAGCATCGACGTCATCTCGGCGAAAACTTGTCGGAACACCCCAGCGGTCAACGGCTCCGCAACTGTTGACCGCGTGGCGGCCGACGGCACCGGTCCTTCTCCGAACGCACCGTGTGGCTCCGCCGGTGCATCCGTGCTCTTAGCCTTCTCCCAATGGGCCAAAATTGTTTTTATGAGGACCTCGCGGTCCTCCGACAGCGGAAGCTGGTTATGCTTCGCATAATTTTGGAGTTGCTCCAATGAGGCCTTCTCCAAATCGGCTTGCTCCATTTGCGATCTTGTCCTCGGCATTCTCTTCTTTTACTCTCACTCGACTAAGTCTTTGGTTTTTTTCGGCACGACGCGGGTTCTTGAGCCCGTTTTTCTTCTCGACACGACACGACAATGTTTCTTTCTCGACACGACGCGGGTTTTTGGAGCCCGTTCTCCGTTTCGACACGACACGACAACTTTTCTTTACCGACTTCACTTATCCGACACGACGCGGGTTTTTTGAGCCCGTAATCCCACTTCTGAATTTAATACTGAAAGTTCTCCGACTAGTTTTAATCGACAAGCGGCTCGACCCGGCTGGACAAGAATCCAGCTAGTCTTTTTAGCAATAATTTGTAACGGTCGGAGCACTGAGTTCTCTCGTTCAAAATGTCCGTTAGCCTTATTAATTTAAACCACGTGCTCCGATTGGCTACCGACAGCAATAATAATGTAAACGCGGTGTATGAATAAATCACTTTTACCAGAAAGAAGAATGGCCTTTATTACTTTGCCTTAATACATTTTACACTGCATATCGCTCGACTCGACTAGATCTATTCTCACGACAATTATCGACGACTCTAAACGCGACTGACTCTATCGCCGGTTCTTTACAGAGTGCTTTACCGGATTTCTCTTCGGATAGTCCTGCTCCTGGGGAAGATTCCGGATCGTTCTCGATCCTTCGGCGGATCCGGTGGCGCGCGCATAGATCGATCCGTTAACTCTCGATCTATCGAGAGTCGATATCTTGCGACTCTGTGTATCGCCTAGTGCATATTTGCGCCTCCTATCGGTCGACCGTAGCTATAACTTACAGCTCTTAATCTTAATCTTAGTCTTAGTCTTAACTTAATCTTAAGGACTCGTTTATGCTTCCCTGGAAATTCGGACTACGCATGTGCAAATGTAACAAAACCTAACCACTAATTTATTTTTATAATTTGGATTTTTTTTATTCCAAACAACATCGAATTGTTGGACACATTCAATTAAATCAGCATCACTCATTTTCGTATTTTACAAAAATCGAAAACCATTATTTCGCGCGGTTTCGTGCTGCGTCGGACGTCAGACTTACCTCATTGGCCCGGCCTTAGGACATTAGGGACTAAAGTTAAAAGATGGGATCTTTCCAAGATTAAGATTAAGACTAAGATTAAGACTAGGGAAGTATAAACGCCCTTATGGCATTCTACGTTATCAACTCTTAAGATTAAGATTAAGACCGAAGCATAAACCGGCCATAACAGTCGGTTAAAGTTAACCAACGTTGGAAAAAGTGGCCCTAGAGGACACAACTAACATCACAATTTAGGGAATTTATTACCCTCTGTATTGTACACTCTGCCCACGATTTTTAGATTGAAATTTGTATCTTTTCGCGCTTTTGAAATATATCTAATCATCAAGCATGTCGCACACAGATACGATTTATAATGAAGAAAATCGGCAGTTTTCTGATAATATGGTTGACTCCAATCCTGTAGAAGACAATAATACTGTCATTTTAAATAAGTTACTTGAGCTGCCGAAAAATATGAGCAAACGTCAATTAAAGAGGGTGAAAAGAAGAGAAAAATGGTTGGAACGAAAGGACGAGAAGAGGTTAGGAATCCATGATATGCGATCACAGTATACAAAATTCTGTAAATTATAATTATCGTATTCTTTTTACTGTTTAGATGTTGAAGATAAATTTCTGTATTTATATAATAAAAAAATGCTTTTATACAATTTTTTATTTTTACAATTTTTATATTTGTAGGAATGTGTAAAAAAAGTTATGTATAATTTATTATTTTTGCTATCTTTATATTATAACATACGGCAATTTTTTTATAGAAAAATATATATTAAAATATTCTGATTTATTGATAATTAAAATAATTTTTTTATTATAGTAATTAAATTTTATGTTACGCATTATAATGATTTACTTATCAGTGTAGGTTGCAGGAAAGGGCTAAGGCAAGGGAGAAACGTGCGTACGCGCGCGCGAATAACCTGAGTCTAGGTCCATCCAGGAAGTTTTTGAAACGCAGCACCATGGCAGCCAGCCCTTGCAGACTCACAGTGACCATCGATTTGTCATTTGATGATTTAATGATTGACAAAGACATTGCAAAGTTGACAAAGCAGATATTGAGGTGTTATACTTTAAATAGACGGGCGACAGCGCCTATGCAATTCTCTCTCACTAGTTTTACCGGCAAGTCACAGGCTGACATGGAAAAGCACAACGGATATGTACACTGGGATGTATGTTGTTACTATTCTCTTTTTATTCTACAATTAAAACAATTCAATAAATATTTGAATCTAATTGGATTGTAGGTAAAATTTCATAAAATGCCGTATACAATTGTCTATTCCAAGGACAAGATCATCTATCTCACAAGTGAGTCGGAGAATATAATTGATCATCTAGACCAGAATTGTGTATATATCATAGGCGGCCTTGTTGATCACAATTCACATAAAGTGAGATTCTGTTTTTTTTTGCTCTTCTCTGTAAATGTGCCCATTTATTTCCATTCTACGTATGTATTCTATGTAACTGTTTATCGAATGTTTGAAATGCAGGGTATATGCCACAAACTAGCGATAGAGGCGGGTATTAGACACGGACGGTTGCCATTGGACAAGTTTTTACAGATGAAGGCGAGAAAAGTATTGACCATTGATCACGGTAAATAGTGGAAAACATAAAAAAAACCCAAATCAATATTATAAACTTATATGAGGTTTCCTAATCTCTTACTTTTATGGTAAATTTTAAGTAGAATTCAATTTGTTTCAAGATGTTTGAATAAATAGACATTGTTTCTAATCAAGTTTTTAAATATGGAGCTGTATCTTGAAATTAAAAAAAAATCAAACTTTTTTCAGTCTTCGAAATATTGTTGAGAGTCACGGAGGGCAATACTTGGCAGGAGGCATTCTTGAAGGTGTTACCAGAACGGAAGAAAGCTCGACCGATTGTACCTGCACAACCCAAAGAGGAAGAGTCGCGAGACCCGTCGAATACCACGACTCCATCCGACGAAGATGATGCTCGCGATGAAGAGAGCAATGGTAAACTCGAATATGACGTTATATCGAAAGAAATTTTAGAAGAAAATTTATGCTCAACGTAGGTATGCGAATGCTGGCATAACAAAGATTCAAAGCGCGGAGAAGTAATCCTTAACACATTAAAGATACGATACGAGAACAAGATTCTCATATTTTGCGTGCCACGTGTTATATATTGGTCATAGCACGAGAATTCTCGTGTTACTTAATAAGCCTTGTCAATATATTTTCTGCAAACTTGGCAAAAATTTGATATATATATATACATGCAAAAATTTAAATATTCCTATTTAAATATCTGAAAACTGGGTTTAATATAACCATTAAAATCGGGAAAAGGGCTCGTAACGACAGAAGCATGAAGAGAATTAAGCAAATAAAAATTTTTTAAATTATTGCAAAATATAGATTTCTGTAAAACACCAAAGTATAACTTCTTTAATCAAATTGATCAAATTCTTGATTAAACAAATTTTTTTATATAAATTAAAAGTTTATTTTAGTTTTTTTTTTTTTTTTTTTGCGAATAGCGAATAGAAGAATCTTTTTTGCTGTTATTTAAAGCTGTCAGAAATTTGCAGTTGCACTACTATGCGCAGGGGTGAAACTTGCATAATAACAATAGTATATTTTTATATCGTTCGTCGTGTATTTTTTCAAATGTAGAGATGCGTAGACAAGGACAAGACGGCAAACACCAATTTATAAATGGGCTACAAAAACGCGTCAGACTCGACAAACATCTTGTCAGCAACTTCTTGCGCTTTTTTTTTTACACATCTCACAGACACATATTACAATATAATACACTCTTACATAGCTACAACGCTTGCTCGCGTTACCGGAGTGCAGCCTCTAGTTGATCGTTTCGTGTTGCATTCTTACTGTCGCACAGCATCGCCATTAGTCATCGTTTATCGCAATTAGGTCAAACGTGTGAACTGACTGTCCTCGGGTTAAAATGTTTGTACACAGGTGCATATTTATTACATTGCAAATGTACATACGCCTATTTGACGTCAAAGATATTAAATACGATATATATTATAATACCGCATTATACATATATATCTCTATTTGTCTAAATGAAAATAAATCTGGTCTCTTCCGATCCTTCACAGTCCTTCAAGCCATCAAGATCGGAAAACTTGTATCCGCGTGAAATACACGTTGCTATCGAGAGACAACAAAGGAAATTAATTTCAATTCAATAGTCAATTCAAATTAAACAAATCGACGAGTTAATTCAAGCTAAAAAGTCTACTTATTGATTTAATGTCATTTTCAATCTCCTGATTCAAACGAAATCATTATTGTTCATCGTTGCTCGAATTTCATTTCACATTCACGGCCGATTACAGGATGTTTTTTTTTTAGTTTTTTTCTTATCCTAATCGATTAAATTAATCGCACGCGCGATAATACGTTACTTTCTTAATCTTGATCAATCTTTATCACATTTTTATATTCTCTATTTCCTCCTTGTCGATTATCTCGTAATCGCTATCGTTGCTCTCGTCACTGCTAACTGTTACTATCTTCCTGTCGAAGGCTCCCTCCTCGGACGACGACGAGGAGGAACTCTTCTCGAAATGGCCGGTCTGAAACTTGATATCATCTTCCTCGGCGTCGTTCTCACCGACGCTGAGCTCCAACTCTGAGAGCTCCACGCCGTCGGTGCTGCCTTCCTCGTGCGAGGGCATACTAGGTGCTATATCGTAAAGACCCTCTATGTAATCCTCGTCATTGAAGGATTCTGCAAGCGGATTAATTTAATTAGTTAATTTCTGAAATTATCGAACGTCGAATATAGAGAAACACAAGATTCACATTGGAGTTACAAATGAAGAAATCATCGTACCGTTCTGACCATCCGACAATATGCTCGTTGGCGTTGGCGAATGGTCACCCGTCTCTCCAACGCGACTCAGCACCTGAAGATTTGCTTCTGTCACCAATGGTAAAAACTCGTCATCGATCTCGCTGTCACACTGCCATTCTGAAAAAGAGGAAAAAAAAAACTCGATAAAGACTTGTCGAAAATGACTCAGCAAAATTTTTCTAACAAAAAAAGTATATAAAAAAATACCTGAATTAATAACTAATTTAAATGAATTTCAATTGAATTAATATAATTTTTTAAAAGTTCTGAATTTAATTTGCATTAATCTTTTGAGATTGTCGAGGATTTAAATTGTCTCTTTTTTTCTCAGGAAATTCAAAGCGTTTTCAATTACCTTTACGCGAGATAAAGTATCCTGATGTCTTCTCAATCAATTTTTGCGGTAGTCGTAGTATCAGAGGTCCAAATATGATGCTCCAATACCAGCAAGGGCTCGACAGGTTGATACGGCCGAGTAGATACAGGCCAAAGGCCACGGCACAAAGGAGGATGCAATACTGAAAAATAATAAACAAAAAAATCAGTGAAAGATGAAAGCTCCCAAAAGAAGAAAGAAAATGATATTTATAAAAGAAACTTACCAGTCCCGGTTGTTTGTTTCGCAGCCGTCGCAAGCTCTTCCACGTCCAGTGCAACTTACTGCATACTCTTCGGCATTCCCTAAAGTAATTATGTATTTTTTTACATTGAACGCGAATAATAGATCCTTATTAAAATTAGAATCATTAAAATCGTTTATTATCATTAATTAGTAATGAATTTTACTAATAACTGTTTTTAAGAATGACAAATAAAATTTACAACAGATTAATTTTATAATAATTAATAAATAAATATTTTACGTAATAATTATTAATTACCTTACGCGTAATAAAACAATTGTTTACGTTTATTTATTAACAATAAATTAATTTTTTTTAATGAATGACAGATAAAATTACGTAAATAATTTACGAAATAATTAATAATAGAATTATTACGTAAATTATTCGCAATGTAAATTAATTTGTAATGTGAAACGTGTAAAAGAGTACGAAAATTTTTGTTCGGTAAACTCACACTGCTGGGGCGAGAGTATCCACGAAGATGAAGACGAAGGTCATTTGCATCGCGAAATATGCAAAGAGGACACTGGAGATTCTCCGCGTTATCGCTAGGCCCAGTATATCGTAGATCCTGCAAAGATATACATTGTAAATCCTGTGATTCTATGAAGACTGAATGATAAATATGAAGAAGTTTTGATATTTATGAATTTCTGCAACTGCTTTCAATAGTTCATTTTTTTACATTTCTTTCAAACCGAAAAAAAAACGAGCGCAAAGATTTAGACACGTTTTTTTTCGAAGTGAGATAATTAAATTAAAGTTAAATTGAATTAAATTAAAAGTTAAATTGAAACTAATTAATTAAACTTTGTATCGACTCTGGTAAATTTATCGTTTGCTTTATTTTGCAGCTATCAGAAGATCATGAAACTCGGATAAAATCTATCGCGCAAATTAAAGTGCGTATTTAGTAAAGTTAGCTACGAGGAAGTAGCTTATCGTAGTCCAAATTAACAATTTGCGACCGCTTTGAATTTAACACTTGATAAATATTTTGGGAAATGCAACAATAAATGAATGCTTCAAGTATTTGCCCGATTTTTTCTCATATCTCTTAAGATGCCCAAGGAAAATTGATATGTATATATCGCAGCTTTTTTTAATAATATATAAATCAGATTTTTTCATCTTATCATCGTGATAAGAGTCAACAAGGTGTAAAGTAGTTTGAAACAGTGCGAGACAGATAATTTTAACTTGTTCATTTTCGAGTTGGGAAGTAACGCGGTGAAAGACGGACATTGATCTTTGTGTGCGGTGCTCGCCAGATATAAAATTACACATTCAACGTGTGCGGTGAGATAAAATTGACAATCTCTGTTTCCTTTTAGACATCCGTTATTTTTGATAAATCATCGATCGCAATTTGGGTCAAGGACGAACTCGGAGATACGAAGAAAGGTGCGCGGCTTTGGAACGACGCAATGTGCGGCGGTTCCGGAAATGAAGCGAGTGCGTGCGTGCGTGCACTCGCGCGTGAAATAGTAAACACGCGTTTTATCGGCGAAGCTTTCTCGGAGTGGAGAGTTATCACCGCGCGCTCGCGCGGTATCTATTTTCCGAATGCGCATTGTGTACATCGGTTGCACATCGTAAACACATATATGCCTTTCCGCAGCAGAGATGTACATATGTATGTTAGGTATATATACACGCTGACGCGAAGCTAAGTCCCCCGCGGGCGCGTTTGTCGCGCGGGGCCTTGACCTAGAAGGCGAAGTCCCGCCGAGCACGAAACATAAAACAGCTGTACGGCGCGATATGACGTCACGGTGGAGTCGGGGGAGGGGGGGGCGGCGCAACGCCGTCATTGAAAGATGCAAAACATCGAGAGATGAAGAAAAAATGGAAAGACGCACAGTAGCGTGGCGCAACAATTAAGACACTCGTGATAAGGATAACGCTCACGCCAGCGTAAGAGGAGAATCGTATCACGGATGCCGGTCGTATGACGCGACGATGAACGGAAACCGAACTGCACGGCGCGACTCTTTTGGCGTAAAGAACCCCGCTGTGCAGTTTTTGAGGTCGAAAAGAAAGGTACGAGGATGACGAATGTGCGGGTCGAAAAACATCGCTTTAATATAAATTTCATCGTCACGAAAGTAAAAAGTAATTGGAAACGAAATTTTATCTTAAAATATAATTATTTTAATATGTATTTTATTGTCACAACAAGATAATTAGAAATGCGCGAAATGTTGCTTTTAAAAAGAATGAAGAATAATTTGGAGATTACTTTATACTTTGTCATTGTTCACTTCACTATTTCATCGCAGAAGTGATAAATTCTAAATCTGAGTAATTTTTATTTCACTTTTGTCAGTTTACACGGTTATGTTGCACAAAAAAGTAGACAAGGGATAATAAATGAGCAGAAGATGGAAAAGGAAAGAAGCGCAATGAAGAATCGCTAGCATTGCATCTTGCACACACAAAAGACAATGGATAGCCAGGGAAAATTGAGACCGAGACTAAACCAGGACACGCGAGTGGAGCCCCTTAACACGACGGAAAGGAGAACAAAGAACGAGCATCGGAGCATCACCATTGCTACTCACCAGATCGACATACTGAGCGCGATGATCAAGATCATGTTGATGAAGAAGTTGGAGTCCCAGAGCAGGATCCTCTCCATGGCGTGACAATACCGGCAGACCTCGCTGCGGCAGCCTTCGTGCTCGTCGCCAGCGAACGCGCCAGATTCGCGGCGACGCGACGAGGATGCCCCTGCCTGGGAGGATGAGGACGACGACATCGCGGTCGGTGGAGATTGCCGCTCCTGCTGTTCGCGCGGCGGACGCGCGCTGCCGTCCCCGTCGTCGTTGTTGCCGCCGCCGCCAAAGCGTCGGAGCAAGTCGTCTCTCCAGAGATCGAGCATATCTATCCTGTGTTCTAACGTATCTATCCAGAGGTTCAAGTTCCAAGCGAGCCGCTCTGTCCACCTCTGGACTCGTCGATCGTCGTTCATCGTCCTGGCTGTCCAGCGTGCACGCGAGACGCACTCTCTTCCTCACTTGGTCGTCGCGCTAGTTGCCGATGCAAGGCATGACCGACCGGACACACCGCCGTCGCTCTTGCGGAGAAGACGAAGACAACCGTCGCGGGAAGGTATTAATAGCGCGTGACAACCGAGGGAGAGAGTCCGCCGACGAATGCGAAGAGCAGCCTTCTTCGCCTCGCCGAGGGTTTTCCTCAGCTGCGCCGCTGCTCTTTCAGCCAACCAGCCTCGAGGTCCTCGAGGGGGTAGGGAGGGACACGGGGGAGCGAGAGAATAGAGAGTGTAGCGCGCGGAAAGGAGACGGAACGACGGAAAAGGGACTGAGACGGATTGTGGGACAGCTGTTGTGTGCTACGCACCCCCGGTCGCTTTCGCATTTACCTGCGATCTCGTACGCTCTCGGTTAGCATGCAAAATTAACACGCGCGCTTCCGCCACCGCTCACTTACGAGAATCCTCTGCGAAAGACGATACGACGACACGACGGCCGCGCGACTCCTCGACGACTCGGCCGAAGGTGAGATACGTGATGCGCTTTGTGCGCCGTTTCGTGCCGACAATGACGCGCGCGAGATGGAGGCCGACTGACGTATTATACACCGCTCTAGTATTATTTCGTACATATGCGCCGTTCTCTGCGTCTGCTACACGCTCGTACTGGTACCCACTCTCTCTCTTTCTCTCTCTCCCTCGCTCACTCGTGCCTTCTACGCGTGTGTAAACAACACGTGACGGCTACAGCGCGCACGCGAGTTGCGCGTCCGTCGCGAAGATTGCGAATCGCGCGATCGTTCTGCGTTTTTACGCATCTTCGATGAGGAAAGATGCGCAGAAATTATGATCATAAACCGATTAACGATATAAGGTTTGCGCAAAATTCTGAAAACGCCGAGAAACTCAACTATTATTGTCTCTTTTCAATTTGTGTATTAGATACATGAAAAAAAGTTCAGGCCAGAATTGTTATATAAATTATATGAATTCCGGACATATAGATTTCTATTTATAATTTTATCCACCATGTAATAATATTATAAATAGATTTCTAACTCAACTAAGCATCGTTTAAAACAATCATTTTTCGATTATTATTAATTCTAAAACTGTGCAGCGCTTTTTTAACGTTTAGAAAATTTTAACGGGCCGTAAATTAGTTGGAAAATACGCATTTTAATATATTAACCAACCTGCTGTTTCTTTTGTCGCACGTTAATCGCTGAAATAGTCTAACGTTCGATGAGCTAACGGTGTGAGTCTTGAGTATGTTTTCAAAGAAATACGCTAGTTGAAATGACATTTACGTACGCGCATGTAGAAACCAGTCAATTGAGCCTAAAATAACGAATGTCATATCGTTGCAATTGATCGATCTTTTAGTGCGTATTTCTCAGAGAAATAGTCAAATCAGATCAATTGTCTTTAAATTTTTATATGAACATCTGTCTTTTGGACACAGTAGATTCTATCTTTGTACTTACCTTAAAAGACAAAAAATAGACTTTGAATTGAACTTCCACTCTATTCTTTTTTTATAGTTTTTTTTCAATATTTCATTAAAAAAGATACCAAATTTTTCTTTCCATTCATTCTTTTATTCTATAACAAATGTTCGTTGAAGTCGCTGCAGGAAAAATAATTGCTATTAATGATAATGGTCCTTCTCGTAGGATACCTTAAATGAAATTATTAGGACGGAAGAATTCTTACGTTCCTTTGGAAGATTTCCTTCTCGTTGTGATTAAAAACGATAAACGCTAATTTATAATATTAATAATTCTATTTTTTTTATAATTATGCAACTAGAAAATAAATGCACGTAAAATACAATTGAAAAATTGTGTTAAAGAGAAAATTGGAAAAAATTGACATACAATTTTCTAGAAATATTTACATTTCATTGAATTATTTTATTCCTTCTATAATTAAACTAATGCAATATGGTTAATTTTCCTACATTAATTTTATTGCACGAAAGGATAAAATATATATTTTTGTTTGTTAGTCCTTTGTTCGCAATATATTGTTTACACATTGATGTACGTAATATCTACTAAAGTAAATAGCGTGTGAGTCATCGAAAGAGCTTAAATACTTCTCTCGGATTCGAAGATAACGAGAAAATATGTAGAGTGTTATTTAGAAGTGTTTCTGACTCATTCTTGGTATTTTATACAAAAATATTTTCTCGTTGAAAAAAAACATGTAGTGGAAGAAAAAAATATATTAATTTATAATTTTCTTTTCCCTTATGCCATTGCTTCTCCCCTGAAAAGGCCCCTGCATCAATTCCCAGAAATCCTCCTTTCGGGCTCTGTGCAGGGGAAATGACGAAGTAACAGCACTTTTTAACACATCTCGTTTTTATTAATCCTCGCATATCGGATTTACATGTAATCTATCGTGTTTATGAACAATCGCATACGAAGTAAATGTGACTGTAACAATACATTCAAGTCAAATTGATACAAAAAGAAAAACAAACGCGATTAATATAATCTCGCAAGGTCGCTATAAAATTGGTTACTATAAAAATGTTTAAAAAAATTAAATAAAATTGTTTAGATGAACAACGAATATAACGATTAACTCGGTTTTGGATTGCACTATTTCTCTTTTCTTACTGTGGCACAATAGAGAGAAAAACCAACACGTAATTCTAATCTTTCGTAGATCGATGTTCTTCGTGAGATTCATGAAAATAGAAAAGATTGAAATATGAATAATTCGGTTGTCACGTGTCGTTTACACTGCACAATTATTCATGGTCCATTCCAAAATCCTTATTTGCATCTTTTCTACATTAGAAATAACGTATAACGATCTCGACTACATAAATGTATATATCGATGTGTGTGTGAAATAATACGGGTCATAATTGTGTTATCATCATCGAGCTAACGTTATGACACGCATCAAAATTTGCAGGGCAATCCGAATCATAACGCACAATATCGATATCCTATGTTCTATATGTAGATTTACAGAATTCTACAAAAACGTTTCGATTTTATTCTAAACAGTTTTAAACCTGAATAAACATCAATGAGATAACTTTCCAAGATTTCCAACGTCCCTAAACAAGAGCTTAAATCGCTTCCCTCCCCCTCGGGCCTAAGGCCAGAACTATAGTTAACAGGTGAACGATAATATTTTTACTTGTCTAGACCTTCTGATCTTGGGTTTTTACCACACTATCGACGAGTTTTCGACGAGTTTTCGACGATTACAAAGAACAGCTCGCATACCATTGATCAGGAACACAAATCTATCTATTCATAAACTTTACATTAGTTTATTCAGGTTGAAAATAATCTAAGAAACTCTAAGAAATCAAATAATCTCGAAACGTTTTCCAGTAAAGAATATTTCATTTTATAATTTATACACTTCGCTCTAATATTCTGCATTACGAATCGAATTTACTCTTCGAATTCCAATTTGTTTCCGAGTCCACCATTTTTCAATTTTCTTTTATTATAATAACACGGAGTAAACTTACTTCTATTCGAGTCGGGCAGTACTTTATACATTTATACAATTTCCTATAAACATTTTCGAGTTTCCTTACAGTTGCACGCAAAAGAGAAATAAAATGCGGTTCTCTAAAACGATTACATTACGTGACGAAGAAGATCCAAAGTTAAATGCATTGTCAAATTTTGTTGCACGAATCATACTTTATGAATTGCTCTTGTAAAAGATATACAAGATTCTTTATAGTTGTCCGTTTCTGAACGAAAGAGAAGGCAACGAGAACCAAGATAGCAAAATGCAAAGGTAACTGAGAGTTAATGCAAGCACATCGTCGTCGTGATATTAAAGGCACTTGGATATGAAAATTAGCCTAAGTCACGTGGTTCTTAGAACCGCGCGATAAGATGTAACGTTACAACTTCGTAAACAAATGACGCACGCTTCGCGTGTTTCGTAATGCAGTCTCTATGTTATATGGCAGTATTAAGTCATTCTATACAAATATCTCAACAAAATATAGAGTATACCGTATTTAAATATTAGTTCCTTTAAATAATTATATGCTAAAACGTTAGATCTAGATGTTGTTATACCGTCGAAGATCTTCAGATTTCGCGTATCTCGCATCCCTGCCACATTCGAAACGAGACATCAAATTGCGCGCAGTCAATGCTTGCAGCTGTTTGACACGAATTGCGCGAAATCGCGTCACGTCGCGGCGACGATGCGATTCCGCTTGAAAAATTCCGCGTTATCCTTGCCTCACGCTGCGTTATTTTCCAGCGTATGTTGGATTCTTAAACGTGGAAGTCGCTTGCTTGTAGATCGGATTCTCTCCCTAAAATAAAACAGCGAAAAGAAAAATGTTATTAAAATAATTGATATACATAAATTAAATGTTAAAAATTTTTCCAAGATTCTGTTGAAGATTTTATAACAAATTTTGTCCTATCATATATTTTGTTATTAAATTATTAAAAAAGTTTACAAAAAATTATCTATAGATTTATCCTTATAAGATTTCTTTCTATTTGCAATCAAAAGTAGAGATTAACATTTAATTTTCAAAATTTTAATCTAATTTACTACAAGATCCTGTTAGAAATTTATTTTATTTTAATACGAAAAGTATCGTACCGTGTCCCACTTGGCCATCATTCTCTCTTTCTCGAACCGTGCAAACTCCCGTCTGTCGTGTATGGTTGTCAGCAGCTTCCACAGCAGTAATAACGCCAGTCCGATCAGGACCACTGCCGCAATCACGCCCAACACGATTCCGAGCATATAAACCTGCGGTGGGCACTCGCGCTCGTTTTGCGCTCGCACCTGGAGGCAGTTGGTCTCGTTGTAATAGTAAACAAAATTGTACTTGCAGTCGTCTTCATCGGTGCCGAAGCATGGCACCTCGTCGTTGTCCACATCGACGATCACTGTTTCCACACCCTCTGGCACAAACTCTTTGCAGTTTCTCGCGCATTCCTCCGCATCGCTATAATTACCCGTGCCGTACATCTGACACTGCACGCAAGGCTTCAATTCCTCGCAGCGGCTCGGGCAGGTCGGGCATTTGTTGCAGTGCTTGCCGGAGTATCGGGTGTTGCCTTCTTCGTGACAGATGCATTCTCCGCAAACGCAATCACCCTTTACAGAAAGAAAAACGAAAGAAATGAATTACTAGAATAGTATACGAAAATATACAAGGTGTCCTTTATAGTTTTGTCGATTGTAAAGTTTCCAAACTTTTTTCTAATATTTGAAAACTTATAAATAGTAATTTAATTATAATAAGTAATTTCTTATTATAATTACGTGATCTGTAATTTTTAACTGTATTATACTAAAACTATTTTGAAGATAAAAACAATCTAAACAATCAACATGATTTTCTCGCTATTAAATACTTACGTGGCCCGAGCAGAGGATACCATTTGTGGTTCCCGGCGCAATGCAGGAATCATTAGAGGATCTACAGTTGCAGGACGGCCCAGTCCAACCGGCGTTGCAGACGCACTGGCCACATTCACAAGTGCCGTGATCCGAGCAAAGCTTGCCTTGGTCGCGGTCACAAGAAAAGTTGTCGCACTCGCAGAAATGTCCCGATATTATCTGCGAGAATATAAATCTGTGATGTCGAAAACATTTGTCGTACAAATAAATCTAGTTTTACCGAATGTAATTTAATAATATTGCAGCAAATTGATAGCAATTCAACATGTATATTAATTGATTTAATGAGGAGGAGGGGGGGAAGTATATATATATATATATACATATATATAACCTCCTCTGGATTTTCTCGTTCCTCACACTCGCACTGACCGCAGGCACATGTACCGCGGCCGGAGCAGTCCACGAGTGAAGCGTTATCGGGTCGGCACGATTGGAAATGCTTGTCAAAGCCGGTAAGCTCCTGGTGTGGACTGCACTCGCAGCGTTTGCCGAAGAATCCGTCGTAGCATTCACAAACGCCGCATTTAAGCGTGCCTACACCGTTGCACTCGGACGATTTCTCTTCGTACATGTGGCCTTCGCGTTCGCATTCACAATCGCATAGCATCTCCAGATTCACCGTAAGAGTCTCGTTAATACCGACCTGCAAAAAAAAGAGAATTAATTAGTATAAAATCGATCGATCAAATTTGCACAATAATCCCACACGGTCTTACTGGATAAATGTCAAACTTCTGCTTCCATTCTGATCTGTTGGCCGGACAACTGGTGACCTCGATCTCTGCGATGAATTCGACCTTCGTGCCGACTTTCAAGCCGTCGCATTTCGACGTCTCGATCGCCGGTCCGGTGCCTAAACAACTCGAGAAATATTTCACCTTGACCGCGCTGCTGGCAGTGTCCTTCATCTCCACCGAGCTAGAGATGGCATCATATTGTTCGCGAATTAATTCCACAACGTTGCTGGAATCGTCGGACAGTTTACCGGCGAAGGAGCCCTCCACGTGTTTCGTCAATCTTTTGTAGACGTTGATCTGCTCCTCCGTGACCGCCCATATGATGTTTATTGCGTTCTGTTTCACTTTCAAGTTGATCTGTGAGATGCTTGGGTAGTCCTGCAGGGATGAATGGGTGTACAGACCGCTGGTGTCCAGGTGGCATAAGCCATCGTTCGGCTTGATAATGCCGCCCAGCTTGCCATCGCCTGCATAATGAAAACCGGCGTCTGTCGAGAACACCAGCAGCCGACGTGCCTTCTCGCGCCAACCTATCTGATTCCGACAAACTATCGCCTGCATAATCGCATCGAAACCACCCTCAGGCGCATCCAGGTTGCCAGACACGGATGCATTACGCACAAGTCCCTGTAAAGAAAAATATTTGTTTAAAAAAATCTCATCAAAAGTGAGCGAATAGAATGTTTATTTTTAATCTAAATTTCTTTAAAGTCTAAAATCTTGAACTTTAATCTAGAATTAAACCAAAACCTTAATTATATTATTAATTAAGTTTTTATTTAATCTGAAATTTATTACCGCAAATTTGCTCGTGTCTTGAGAAAGTGTCATAATGTTTTTGTATCCATAAGGCGCCGCGCAACCATCACATGGTTCGATAAGACTGAAATTAAAGATAAGCAGACGGTTATTGACATAGTTGTAAACAGCATGAGATATATGTTTCTTGACTCATCTTGAAACTCACGATTTTGGCACTGTATTGACATATGGCATTACGACTTTGTCAACAAAACTACCGAAACCCAGACGGAAATTGCTCGTGATCTTGCTCATGCTCTCAACCAATAATTGTCCCAAGTCGGATAATTTCTTCTTATCATCCTCCATGGACTTGCTCAGATCCATAAGGTAGTACAGATCCACGGGATAATCCTCCGCTTGAGAGTAAGCAAAAGACATTCTGTAAGCTTCGTCTGAAATAAATTTACATCGTGTAAAGCTAATAAAATTCACAATTTTAATTTTACTTTAATATAATGATAATAACTTATTCTTAGTTTCAGATTAACTTCCTGCGGCCACATCTGCACAGCCTCCTGTCTTCTGCTTCCACTTCCACTTGAACTCTCCTTGTGAAAATGGGAGGAGGATGAACTGGAAGATGAAAAGTTGGAGTACGAGCTTTCAATGCTGCCATACCCTCCTCCAATTCCACCACCACCAATAGCATAACCACCCTTTGTCAAGTTACGATGTCGTAGCATGCTGAAGACATTGTCCGGATTCCATGTATATTCGGAAGGACATGTTGCAAATATCTTGGTATTGATATTTGGAAGAAAGCACCTTTTTTCAGGGAATTTCTGCAAAAGTAGAAATTCAAATTTACACACTTGATTTTATATTCAATCCAGTTATAATATGTAATATTGAGAACTTATAATTTGGAAATAAGACAGTTGTATATCTATATTTATTACTATTATTAGAATAAGTAACATTACATACTCATTACAATAATTATATTGATAGAATGGTTAATTTATTTTGTAAACATTTCATAAACTTACTGGGGCTGCACACCAAGCGCAATGTGGTGTCTGTATGCATTCATGACATGTCTGTTTACTGATACAAGGATTCATGCCAGTTAATCTCTCCGGAGGAGGATAATTGGCTTGGACGAATGAGGCTAGTAGGCCTGCCACTAACACTCCTGATATAATCAGCCATCTCAAGCTGCCGAACATCCTGTAAAACCAATAATCTTTTGCTATATAGAAAATTTTCACGAACACATATAAATAGAAAAATATTTTCTCTATTGCAGAACAATCACACAATACAAGATTAAAATAATAGAAAAGCAGTAAAATGAGTGAAAAAGTCAAATGAGAAAGATGCACAGAATTTAAAGAGACGCTTTTAACGAATTGATAACGATCAGAGATGCACGCTTTGTGTCACATACGTTTGCATTAATCAGAAACCGAGAAAAAATAATCGAACAGTTGAGCAGAAACTGCTGCGGTTACGAGCACCGCGACTTATTCATACGTGCGGCGATGCCGTCATCTTTATATTTGCCGAGCAGCATCATGTATGACTAAAGCTGACGATAAGCGGAAAGAGATTCGCGCGTAACGCGAGACCCGCCTTCGAAAAGCGCAACGTTACTTACTTAATCGCGAGCGCACGAGACGGTGGGTGTCGGTTTTCTTCCTTCGCGATCAATTCTTATGTTATTCTACAGCAACATCCCAAATGTTGTTTGATTTGATGTTTCACTCGTCGATCACCATAAATGGCAATCCATCGAACGAACGCACCAACGCACACGGGCCACTCCGCAGGGTGTGTTCGTTCTTGCGTCAATCTTGATATATTTACGGCACGTCACCGCCAGGTGGCGATGTCATAATAATATTCTGAACATGATGAGTGTATCTTGTAACATTTTTATTCATGATCTTTTGTTGTCCACGGCCAAAAGATTCCGCATCCGTTTCACATCCTGTTAAAGAAATATTTATCGCACATCATCACGAATGCTCCAGCGTGTCGAAGAGATGTTTCACAGCTCCATTGCGTCCAACATTTTTTATGGTATCACTGACTATTGATATTGTATTGAAAATATTCGAACACGCGAAGAAATCTCTTTCAACTGCAGATAAAAAATATAGTATAATTTACTGGCAATAGGAGATAGATATAGCTATATAGTTGCGAATATCATACAGATTGAAACATATGATAAATTTATTAGATGGTTTTTAAAATTGTAAGTTCTTATTTTTGGCGTGTATTATCAAACAAAATATGAAATGAAGATAGATGAGGAAAACAAAAATTGAACAAGATTTTTTTCTAGATAGCACTAATGCCGATGCAGTGTAGCCACTACAAAGAATGACAAGCAATTCTATCCAGTTTGCGGCTGACAATAAAAACAATGTGCTGTGTTTATAACTTTTTTAAATTTGCGCTTGCGTGAACTTCATCACCTCATCAGAAAAAAACGTAGAAGTCAACATCGGTAAGTGTTTATCATTTTTACAATGAATATAAAATGCTCTCAGATGAATTTTTATGGAGCAGCGTAATGTATGTGAGCAGGTTCATCAAAGAGGTTAAGTTTTTGTAAATTTTTAGGGTGAAATGTTACCTCTAGGTTTTGCTGCCTGTAGTAATGTCTTAATTCTTTTATTAACAATTTTATAACTTGTTAAAAAACGATAAAGTTTTTATTTACATTATTTTGTATTCTAGATTATCTAAAAATTATTATTTTATATTGTTTCATATATTCTATATTATAATTGGAGACTTTTAAAGAGGTGATTCGGTAGCTAACCAAAAACATTGCTCCAAAGAGTTTTTAAATTTAAGAATGTATAGTCTTTTAATAAGAGAGAATAATGAGGTAAAAATAAAACACATATTTTATTTTTATGTTAGTATTTATCGTTTATAACAAATCGATAAACGTACAAATGAAAGCTGCAGAATCAAAGATCTTTGTTGATAAAATAGTTACACATATTATCGGCATAGTTATCTCTCTTTTGCATTTAGTTTTCTATAATTTTAATAGATGACGTAACCTTACCTTTTTTCTTCTTTGCCGCGTTTAATTAGGCGTCCATTTTCTAACTGAAAACATCGTTTGCAAAAAAACTTCAATTGCCTGTACATTATTATTGAAATATGTTATTTTAATATTACAAGTATTAGAAAAAAACTGTATATTGACTTTTAGAGCGACTTTGTTTTGCCGCGAAACACGGTGAGTTTACTATACATATTATTCTGGATTGTCGAATTCTCGATAATTTTACATTAAAATGTTTAAGAAAATAATCTTACTTTGTTAGAATATGTTATTACATTTTATATATTCTGGTTTTTGCACCTCTAATTAACTGATGCCAAGTTTCTTGCATCAGGTATACATATATGTATTTTTTATATGAAGATAGAGAAATAGATAATCAATATATATTGTTAGGTTAGGTAATTATTATCTCCGTTTATTTTATTCTAAAAAATAAGTTGTTTGCATTTTGCACTGAGAAGCACTCTGACTAACAACGAAGAACATATTTTTTGAGGAATATATTTTATTTTGAATATTGATATAAATGAAGCATACATAAGAGAATTCTGATGATATAGTTTATTATTATTAGCATTATTTGCGCGATGTACAAGTGTTGATTTGCGTCATAAGAGGATGTTTCTTTTCATTTTTGTACGAGTTTGAGTCTTTGAACTAAATCGATACTTCGAAAAAGTTTGAATCAATGCGACGCGCTTAATCAGTATGCAAGAGAAAAAAGAAAGGAAGCGTTATCCGTTACGAATTAACGCGCATGGGGTTAATATACGAAGCTACGAGATATTTGTTAAAGCGATAAATAATTAAAAAAAGGATCAGTGCGTTTCTCTCTCTTTCTTTCTTTCAAAGAAACGACTCGATTACTCGGTTCGCGATTCATAAATAACGAAGGAACGCGGACGCCTTTCTTGATCTTGATGATTTGCATCGATTTTTCCTTTGCTAGGTCTAAGTGCGAATAGTAACTATTAATTAATAAAATTACCATCGTGCAAATACGATGGTACCTTCATAAAGAATCCGACGTGCGCGTTCTTTCGGCTTAATTAAGCACTAATTAGGAAACCTTTCGAGAATCTATTTCCCGATTTCGATGAAATTTACAGGACATTTAGAACTCGATTAGAGAATGATATACTGAACAAAATTAGCTTCCGAATGTTAATAGTTAAAAAAGTTATAAAGAATTTTATGAAAAATATAATTTGATTGACAAAATTTTGATTTTAAGTAAAATTTTACGAATAGAATCAATAGATAATTAGCAATATACGAGTCACAAAAAATGAAATTTTTAATTATTATCAAAATTATTTAACATGAAATACGCCACACAGGAACTATCTTTGTATCATGAACAACGAACAATTTTTTAACTATTAACATTCAGAAGCTAATTTTTTCAGTATATCATTCTCTAATTGAGTTCTCGAAAGATTTCCTAGTAAGAGGTAATAATAATAATAATAAATATAGAAAGGCGAAAGACCATATCGATAACTTTATGTTTCGAATTTGATTGAGGCGATCGAAGCCGCCTATTTGCGTCCACGATTTCCTCTTTTATTTCAAATTTCCTATGATGTCGCGATATTTCATACTCATTTGTCGCTACTCTTTTTTCATAAATCAAAATCTTCGTAGCGCGCATTAGAGTTTTGTGCTAAATAAAATTTCTATGTCGCAAGCGTCCGCCGTGCGATGCGAGCGAGGAGGAGAGCTTTTTCTCGCATTCTGTCTCATTTTACTTCTCTATTCTTGAGAACAAGTTTTGCGCTGATTTATTAAATGAGAACGGAGAATATATGGTGCGATTGGTGCGATTGGTGTCGATTAAATAATTGGTACACAGTCCAACACATTTTTATTTTTCTCTCTTTCTTTTTTATTTAACCAAAAATTAACAGTACGAGAAAATCAAATGTTACAGAATATTATATACCATTATTCTATTAAAAAAATATTTTAATTTAAAAGATTATTTTTTTAATTCAAAATTTTTGAATTATTATTGGCTAGGAGTGTAAATTTGGGACATGAAGCTAAGATATTCTTAACATTAATTAGTAAACGGTACATTAACATTGAATAAATAGATAAACCATTTATTTTCGAGATCAATTATTTTTATTTTTAAACCTTATAAATTTTTTTTAACTTTTTCTATTTATCATAACAATATATCATTATTCGAGCATGAAAATAATACTTTCTTACTTAATTGACCAATTACTTAATTGACACCAAATTACTTCAAACGGTTAACATAATTTTCGACTTCACGTATATCGACTTCAGCAGTTTCGAGGTAACAATTCAAACCAATTTTACGTATCGTTTTCGGAATCATTATGCTATCTCGCGCAGTTTTATTTAATAGCACCTCGTCGATGATTTCGCTCAATATTTCAGTTCCAGACAGTCGTTGTGTGAGACAGCTTGCGTAGCTTTCGTCCGAACCAGTCGGACGGTAATATCTTCGATTGGCAGCCGAGGACGGTTGTGATATTTCGAATAAATTTTTTTTTTCTACGTATGCAGCTGCGTTATTTCACCTCAGTACTTGGTTTTAAAACGATAATGGAGAGGACTGATGAAAATCGACGTTCGTTAATGGAAGCGCTCATCATTTCGTATTTCGCGCAGTTTGCGATTCGCGAGAAATACATTGCGTTGTAAAATTTAACGTAGACAGATTCACTGTGGCGTATATGTGGCTGTAATATTGGTAGCAATCATTATCCCGAAGAGATAGCAAGGAGGAATGATAACTTTTTAATCGAAGGATTTATTTCTTTTTCATACGAATGTTTCTTTGCATTTTATCGACTTTTTGTCAAAAAATTCAAACGCTTAAATATTTCGGCCCTTTATTGTCAGCGCTGAATGAATCAACGAGCACATATTTAAGCCGACGAGAGACGACAGATTTTCGAAATGTTTTGTGAAAAATATTAACGAAAAATGTTAATGAAAATAAGTCTGCTTTACCGGGGGGAAAAGGTAACAATTATTATTTATCGTTCCGAAACGTTTGCTTTTTAAATTTAAATTTTTTTTGTAATGTCGTTAAATATGTGCTGACAACCGATGTAAAAAACTAAAATCGTTCATCCTTGCTATCTGCCTCATTTTAACTTTCAATAAACCGTGGCAAGCTGTGTTTTATTGAACTTTTACGTAATGTTTCTTTAAAACACAATCAGTGTCTCCTCGGCTCCTCGATCCTCGCTGCATTCGCCGTTTCGAACCTTTGCGACTGCTCTTTTACGCTGCGCGAAGATTTATTTCGATTGCCGCTTACGTCCCATATTGCAGATCTTGAAGTGGCATAGGGACATGTCTGAAACACGAATCGCGTCTGTTACTGGCGATAAAACATCGTTCTCTCTAACATAGATAACTGTACAATTTTTGTAACTTTTTAATGTTTTATTTCTACACATATTTCGCACATATTTCTACATTGAATTAAAAATTCGAACGTTTTCTATTACTCTCAGTTTTTATGTGACTTTTCGTATATAATTGCTATTTTTTCATTTATTTATAACAATTGCACCTATAAATTACCGATAACAAAATCGCGGATCGAAAACAAAAGATTCTTGTAAAAAAATCTCCGTCGGCGATTTCCTTTTCGAATCTCAATCGTTCGAGGAATCAATCGAGAGAAACGCGTGTGCGACACACAATGCGTCACATGCCAATTACTCTAATCAATTGTTGTCGCCGATCGTCTTCGATCAAACGTGGCGCAAATGTGTGCATAACACGCATGCCGATGTTTCTCATCGAGGAAAGTTATTTGTGAGGTTGCCGAGAAACGCTCTATCGGATTTCCTGCGATCTTTTTCCCCCGAACTAAAGAAAAAAACCCCTCGAAAAAAAGCCGAAATAAAGAGGAAAATGTTCTCTCATTGGAGAACATCTCTCTCTGAAGAAAGGATTTGTCGCGAGATTTAGTTTTCCACACATGCGAAGTATAATTCTTCGATTTAGCTAACGAATTCCGATACAAGGAGCGATAATGTCGTGAAACTTGTCGTCGATGTGTCTTTTTTCGATTAACGACCATTTCACGTAACGATAAAATACGCCGTTAGATACGCCGCTATTATCTCTCGAGTAAGCTCCAAAACATATCTCACGTTACTTAAATATCACCGGCATATTGTAACGAGCGCATTACTAAAACGTTCTTGTATAACATTTTTTTTTAGAAAAAGATGTCAGATTGTTGTACACAAATTTGTATTGTTTTTATTTTATCATTTGATTATAAAAGTAAATTAGAAATCTGTGAAATTTTTTGTTTAAAGTTTCAAATCAATATTTCAGAAACATTTAATATAATTTAATTGCTTTGGAATATTTTATTGAATAATTCGTTGCGCAAGAGTAGATTAAAAAATATTTAAAAAAAGACGAAAAAATTTTCAAAAATTTCACGCATTTACTGTTTCTGTCTTATTTGGATTAAATCTCGATAAGAAACGTGTAAAACATACTCACAACTGACTGCGTTTACGCGGTGTCGTTTGCCCAGATGTTCGCCGTGTTGGATCATAGCCGCGGGTATCGGTAGCGTTTCTGGTTCCGGTTCCTCGATGGAGTAATCTGGTGGTTGTTGCGCCGCGATCGCGTGTTCCCGCTCTCGGGCTTTTGCCTCCAGTACTGCCTGGATCTCGATCTGTTCATCGGTGATCTCGTGCTCCTGCTCGACAATTCGGTGCTTTTGCTCCGTCAGCTGTTTCAGGCGGTTCAATAACATCTACGAAATAAGAGAGAAAAAAATAAGTGTAGCTTCTTTGTAACGAGTTTTTTAAATCAGCGATTAGCGTAGTTAATAATAGAAATTAGTAATAGAAAGATAAGTTCTTTTTCGCCGGCTAGTTGCTAGTGAAAAGAAAAAGGATCGCGCGAGGATTACTCACGAGATTTTCCACATCATCCGCGACATTATCGCCATAGATGAAGCCCGGTGATAGCGATTCGGGTTGCGCGAGTACGAGCACTTTGTCGTTGCCGCTTGTAGCACAGGACAGCACGAGTGCCGTCAGCAGACACAAGCTTGTCTTAGCGACGGCTTGTTGACTAGTCCTTTCCGTCATTCCCTTATATCTCGTATTCTCTGCAAAATAGAAAAATACATTTTGCATCATAGTCTGACTAGATTATCCGAAATATATTTGTTATTAAAAATACAAAAATAGATTTTAATTTTACAACAATCCAGTTAGATGATTTCTGTAAAATTTCTTCTCCGTAATGACGGAGGGTTTGCGAACAAGTGTGATCCCGCTGAAAGATCATACAAAATCCTGCCAGCCGATGTAATAAACATCGTAATAATAGCAGTAATAGCAACAGTAATAGCCATTTATAGACAATTCAGTGAGCTCCCAAAGATCACATAAAAAATATATTAAGGTGACGTAAGATACAAGTAAGCTTAGAATGACTGTGGTTAGGATGAGTGTAGCCGGAAGGAATGCACACCCGCGAACCGTGTATCTGAAGTTGATATAAGTTGCGAACACAGCAGGGTTGATGAAAAGAGGAGAAAATGCCACGGAGATTGTGTTATATATTACGACCTTTTTCGCTCTTGCCGCGCCGAGATAAGAGTTCATCTTAGCGTTCGCGCGCAGAGAAAGAGGAAAAAAAAAAACGAAACTTTCGCAAAATCGCTTGTCGGCGCAGTGTTATGTTTAATTGATTTTATCCCGCGTAAAGAACGCGAGATTGCGACGACCGAGTCTCCGTGGCGAAAACGAACGATTTGCACGACCCCGGAGAGGTCATCGCGGATTATCCTTTCGCTGATAGAGCGGTATCGTACGGTTGCGGACGTGCGGTGTGTCATATGATAACGAGTAAAATCGCGTAACGAAGCGAGGGACTAAATTGTCGTGAATGAAATTGTTGAATATGTCGCGTCACGTTATAATGAAGATAAATAATAATAACAGACGGCGTTTCGATGGTGATCGACAATGATCTCGGCGACAGTGCGCCTGACGATTATTTATAGATTCTAAATCGATTTCGTCACAATTTCCAATGACTCCGCTAAAGAGACCAAACGCACCGTGATGTGTTCGTCGCAAACAAAACGATTAGAAATCAATTCGCTCTGCGCAGATTCACTTGTATTTGAAAAACATGGTGTTTGAACATATTAGGAAATACAATTTTGAAAAGTTATTTGGCCAATTTGACAAAATAGAAAAAAAAACATTTTATTTATGCGAAATTACAAACAAGTAACAATTGACAGAGGCGAATAAATCTACTTAACAATTCGTTTAGCTATTTTCTAAGCTGAGGTTGACTAGATTAATTTTTTTACATTGTAATACGTTAAAGAGCTGCAGCGTCAACACGTCGTGTATAATTTCCCGACGATCGGCCGAATGTAACTTACTCTGGTCAAATCTAGCGAGACTCACGTTTGATTTCGTCAACGGAGCGACAAGCGATAGTAGAGTGAGCGGCGGAGGGCTGTTTCACCCTCTATTATACCCGCGCGCAGGTATCCTCCTCCATCCGCGCCACCACCTTGACATTACCCTCTCCTACCACCTGTAGTAGGTGTCTGATATGACGCAAAGAAGAAGGGTGATCTCCCGCCACTTTTTCCTTTGTTATGAAAATGAGCAGCGCTCACACGTGCCGTCTTATATTTCCGGTATTCGAAGTGGTGAATTTCGAGGAAAAATTAATTGTATATCATGAACCGCACGAGCATTTATATAGTTTTTATATCGAGCCGGAAAATTTTCACTGTCCGTATTTCTTGTCAAATCTCAATTTGTTCCAGTGCTGCGTCGTGTTTTCGATTCAAATTTTGCTTATTTGTGCTTCGAAAATTTGAATGTCAAATTTATTATACAACATATCCTTATTATATCCGTATTTTTTTTAGAGATTCCGACGTCATTATTCTCTTGGATCGATACGATTGTAAATTTTTGCGGCGCATCTTGCGAATTTTTGCCGTGACTGCCAGCCGCTTGCGATTACCGCGATGACGAGGAAAGTAGTGACGCGTCGGCGTTATAAAGTCCGATAATCTCGATGCGTAACGAAAACAAACCGCGTCAGATGAATCGCACACGCACCGAGTTTTGTATTTCAACACGCTTGCATTTTGTTGGAAAATTTCGTAGTACTTATTCGGGACAAGGATACGTAGATCGCAATTTGCGACGTTGATCGCGAAGTAATGTACGCGCTAGCAATGATGTATGTATATACACTGCGTCGATGAGCGAATGTTTAAAATTAGATTAGCAACGTTTGGTTCTATGTCGCGGACTAATGATGACGCGCGAGGTGACGATAAGCGGTTCTCGCGCTTTTTATCGCGGCATAAAGAGTGCAGGCAGGGAAGAGAGACACGATGCGGCGGAGAGACGCAGTTGTTGAGATTTAGAGGAGATTTTTTTTCCACAAAATTCCACTGATAAAATTTTCAATTCTACGAGTGAATCGCGACGTCGTTCGAACATATTTTCGATCGGTTTCGGTGAGTTGATCGGGAATCCTTGATAATATTGTCGACAAAATAAGACGCGATTATCCTACTGGATCATAGCATAATGTTCAAGGATTATTATTCGCGTCTAATGGAAGCTTAATGCGAGCTTACTGACGTAAACATGAAATGTTACGACAGATTACGTACAAACGTGACGCATTTCCGTCTACGCTATTTCAATGCTTCACTGAAATCTTCACATCGTATTTCCTGAAACGTGCGATAAGACAAGGGCGCGTGAGAATCACGGAATCTATTTCTTCGTGATCAAATTTTTCTCGACTGATATCGGACCTCCAAGAGAATGATTTGAAAGAAAACATTAACCCTTAACAAAGTATATCAGATCTCAGAGTATAAATATTACGGAAAATTACAATGAACAATTGAAGATATTAATGCAATCAATTTCGTCTCTAGCTCTTTGTATTTGAAGATATCTTAAATTAAATAATGAAATTGATTAATTGTTATATTAAAATTAATAATTGTTATGTTTAAAACATTATTCGGAAAATATCTGGAAAAAAGTGAAATAATCGAGAGATTTTTCCCAAATTTCTCATTAAACAAGTGTAATTTATGAACTTGATTGTCAAATTGCACATACTCCGATTTCAGCGCAGTGCATCTATTTAGAATAAATTACCTAATATATGTTATGTTACGTACACGTACACGTGATATACGTGTATGTTATTTCTCGCGCATTGTAATAAGCTTGTGCAACTCGTCTTACCACCGCGTCTTTGCGAAGGAACTATGCCAATTGTGCATGAATTAATACAAAGATTAATTGCGTTAGGGTGCAGCGAAATTCTTGGTTCCCGACTTGGGAACAAACTTGGTTATGCGACTTCAACCATTTGAAAGGACAAGTTAGACGAAGAGAGAGAGAGAGAGAGAGAGAGAGAGAGAGAGAGAGAGCCACGCGTCGAAACCTTGTGAGAATACTTATCGATATTACATGCATACGTATTTATACATTTAAAGAATAATTAGCATACAAGGCACTCTTTCAAACAAGTTTTTATTCGCCTAAAAAATTGTTCTTATTTTCACGATTAAAATTTTTTCGCGTTCGAAATAAATTTGTTTAATTTTGATAGGTGCGTCATCGAGAAGGATAAACATGGAAAAATAGTTGTATATATTTTATGGAAAAAAATGTTAAAATTATTTAGGCGCATTATCATGTCGAGCGACGTCGAGGAGGATCAGCAAGAAGAGAAATCGTTCGCCGTGGAGCGCGCCAAGACCGGTCGCGCCAAGTGCAAGCGCTGCAAATGCGTGATCGAGAAGGGCGAGCTGCGAATCGCCAGGTTCGTGGCGAGCTTCTTCTCGGACGGTAAGCTGACGGCAGCTTGGCATCACGTCAATTGCCTGTTCGACGCGTTCGCTAAACAGCGCGCCACGACCAAGAGGATCGACGATCCCGCGGAGGACGTAAAAGGCTGGGAACTGTTGTCCGACGACGACAAGAAGGTCATCTTCGACAAGTTGAAGGAGTTGGAAAAATCCTGTAATTATAGCGCGCGCGACTCTATATCGAGAGGAGATGCATTGCTTTCACGCCTCCGCGCGCGATTTATATTTGCGATTTATGGAAATCAATTAACATTCGTGTTTAGCTGATCGCGCGCCCTTCGCTCGTATTGTTGCGAGCTGACTTGTGTCGCGTGAAGAAATCATTCAGAGATTTTCTCTTTTCCTTGAAACTTCCGCGACTTGTAATAGATTTTCTCCCTTACGAGCTTTACGGTGGAAAGTTCCAAAGGAGTTCAACGCTTATAAGAGAAATTGCTGCTCTCGGGGGCGGAAGGGTTCATCGATATTAGGAAAAGATTACAACGCGCTATATCGCGCTGTTTATTCCTCATGACTTTGCCTGCCATAATTAAAAGTCAGTCAATAGTGTTATCTATGATGTACGAACTTGCGAGGGCGAGAAAGGAAATTTCCTCAATTTACAACAGTTCTCGGAAAACAAGAATTTTGCTATCGCAACAAAATTGTCGTTGTTATTGCATATTAGATGTGACAGCGACAAAATTTCGTTACTGTAACTAAGTTTTCATATTACTCGATATATTGGCAAAATCTATTTTGTTGGCAGAAATTTTGCGGAGCATATTTATTCGTAAAGACACATTAATTTGTTGCTACGATAAAAGAATTTATTTGTAATAAATATATTTTGCTGTTGCAGTAAAATTATCGCTGCTAACACAAATTTTGATGATAAAATAAATATTAATGTTATAATTGCGATAGAATTTGCAGATTTAGCAAAATTATTTTTAGCAAATGAAATTAGTTTTGTAACAAATTTCTTTGGTATCATGTAAAAACTAATATAATTTGCTAAAGCAGCATAAAATTTACTGTCAGAAAATTCTTTTTTTCCATGTTTTTAAAAATACACAAAAGTTTACGATTTCACTAATTCTGCACGAATAATTTAACTTAACCGTAATCTTTGTACTAAAATGATAGCTTTAATGAGTTAATTGTTTTTTCTAGATCCGATTAAAGTTTTGAAAAAACCCGCGACGGCGCAGAAAGCAGGCCCTTCAGGAAAAATGACAGAGAAAATTTAGATCAGAAGGTGAAAAAGACCGCGGCAGTCGTAGCAGATGATAAGAAGAAAGATAAAGAAGAAAAAGAGAAAATCTCATCCAAGGATGATTCCTTTCGCGAGTTTCGACGTCTATGCAGTAACATCGCCGACGTCGACGCCTACACTGACAAAACAGCGATTATTAAGACGATGTTCACGAAAGGAGCGCAGGGAGGTAAGTATCTGTCTCTGTTCTCTATTATAACAAGATGAAGCTTATACATAGTGTTTGGTCCAAAATCTAATAATAAGTTACATTATTACTTGATATATATACATACATCGCAAAGTATGTAATAGAAAATGTCATTGAATTAGCATACGATTTAATCGAGTTTATCTGTACATTTATTTGGCAATGAAGCTGCGATAGCTTTCGAGATCAGCGATACTTTGGTGACCTCGATAAGGCGAAAAAAAATTTAGGCATATTAGCAAATCATCTTTTATTGATTTTTTTTTCAAAGCTTTAGCCATGGCATTGCAAAATAGCGATTGAGCTCTTTCTTGCGATAGAATTGTGAGAAGAAAATGTGCTCATTGTTGTATCTATTGTACACCTTTACTTGTGCACAAAGGAGAAAAAATACATCCACATCCGTAAAGGAAAGTGCTTTATTAATCAGAATTTGTATGCTTTTCGCGAGGGTGCCAAGATATACGGAGGCGTTTATTAATGGTTTCTCTTGTCATTCCCGTAATAAGCTTCGCAGATTATTAGATTGTACAAGATTACGCAATCGTGAAAACAAGTGCAAAGTATTAAAATTAACATAAAAAAAGGGATAAAATTTAATCCTAGATGCAATACAAGAAATGTAATGATAAATGACTTTTGAAAGGCAGTCATACGTTCCAGGCACTTATTTGCATGATTTGATCGGAAACGGAAGTTTACAGTTAGCGTACATAATCCGATAACAATACCCGATAACATTTATTTTCGAACAGTCGTGGATCTCTTTCAAAATCGTACATTCGACCCGAAACACACGATAGCGCTCTTCAGCAATCAAGTCATTCATCATGTTCATCGAAGGCAATTCGTCACTCGCTCGCACTCGGAAAGTCTTCGATTGTTTAAGAACTGCTTTCACATTCTTTTTATTTCTTTTCTGTGCTTTTATACTCGATGTCACTGAAGTGTTGTTCGTTCCGTCAATAAAAACAAAAATTAACGATTAAAACTGACAATGAGAAGTGTTCGCGACTGCCGGAAATCGAATCTCGTTCGTGTCTCGGATTTGAATCTGAGTTACGCCCGTCCTCCTGCAGTTTTCTCCTAGTTCACCGAACGAAAAAGAAAAGCGAAAAAGAGGCGAATATCGCGTATCGCCGATTCACGAGACAGAGGAATAAACCAGAATGAATCACGAGGCCTCGCGTACGTCGCGTGCTGTGCGACGCAAAGAAGAAGTAGAAACAAAACGAGGGCGAAGCGAGCGAGCGAGCGGATGCTGAAGTCAGCGTGCTGAATATTAATCAATCCCATCAATGGGGGGATATCGATGACCGCGCGGCGTATTCTCTCTCCTTCATGCAAATACCAACGAGATCTATCTTCTCGTCCCTCCCGCCATGGGAAGCTCTCTCTTTTCCTGTTGCTTTATTTCTCATTTCGCTTACTTGATCTTCGTCTCTCGTGCTATCGCTCGTCTTCGCGAGAGAGAATTTGCCTTCTCTTTGCAAAGTTTCCTCCCTCCCCGTCTTTTGCGCGCGAGCGCTTTTCTCAGAGTGCGAAGGGGCGAGACCCGGAGCGGCGGTTAGTAAATATGATACCGGAATCGGATACAAGGAAACCATTAATCACTCAAGCACGCGTGAACGGGTCTCGCGCACCGTGAAAACTGCGTTAAGTGGAAGATTTTTACGGTGTTATCTGGCCGGAGGAGAGAGGGAAGGAGAATAAGAGGGAGAGCAAAGAATCGCAAAGCTCGTCAAAGCTCCTCGAAATTTTGCGAAAAGCTTTGTAAACAAAAGCGAATCGAGTTTAAGAGTAGTCTTTCTTTTTCTTTTCTCGTATGTTTGTCCCCTTTCGAACGCGGTATCATTCACAAAGTGGTGCGGTTATCCGTTCAGGGGAAGAACATTTGCGATAAACACAGTTAGTTGAATTTATGAATAACAAATGAGATTTTTCACATAATAAACGATAAATAGAAATTTAATCGAATAATGATTAATTTTGACGAAAAATTGTTTCTGCAACTTATCGGGGAAATTATTTGTATTTTTAAGCAAGCGCACTTAACCGAATTTATTAATAACAAATCATAAATAAAAAATAATTGAACGATGATTTATTCTGACGAAAAATATTGGTCCCGCAACTTTTCGAAGGAATGATTTGTATTATTTTTAAACAAATTTATAACCATAAAATTCAAAGACGCGATCGAAAGTTTGCACATTATTTGGAAACTATAATTCTATGACGCTACGCAAAAAATATTCAGAAAAATGTTGTTGAGAAAATAATATTGGAAAAAAGATGGAAAATCTCCGAAGATGCAATTAAAAGTATTTCATTAATGCTGTTGATACAGAACTAAAAAATTCCGCAGGGCGGAAATTTTTTTCACGCGCAGATATTTGAACAGATTCTCAAAAATGTAATCTTATGTTAATTTAATGCTTGATACTTGTAATTTGCTACAATAGTAATTTTTCGATAATTTTATTTATGCCATAATCATACTAGAATTTATATTCGGTTAAAATATAATTAGTTTTTCAATTTTAAATCTGTTGGAATTTGTTTCCAAATTTTTGCGAATTTATTTTTATTTCTTCAACTTTGGTTTTCATACAAATTACAATATTAAGCAATTTTTCCGTGAAAAATATTTCCAAGTTTGGTTTAGTTGTGTAATTTTGATTTTGTTAGAACTTAATAAGCGAGAGATACTCACTGTTGATGCTGCAAGGGTTGATGAGATTCTTCTCAAAGCAATATTAAACTCCCGTTCCTCGCAAACTTCAATTCCCGATTATCCGCGAGCTTGCAGCACGCACGATGGGGAAAAAACGACGCGTAAAGAAAGATTACTCGACTCGTACAAATCTGTTCTTATATATGTTCGCGGACGATTAGCGATTATTTAAGTCATTGCCGATTTCTTCGTTTACACGATGGGACACATCTTTGCGTTATAATATCTCTCTTTCTCTCTCTCTCTCTCTCTCTCTCTCTCTCTCTCTCTCTCTCTCTCTCTCTCTCTCTCTCTCTCTCTCTCTCTCTCTCTCTCTCTCTCTCTCTCTCTCTCTCT